ATGTATGTAGTCTCTGCCTACCCCTCCGGGTGATAGGCGTGAGTGTTTACGTATGCTATGTATGTATGTATGTATGTAAATTCACACCTGCCGAAATATACCAGGTAAAAATTTTACTTGGGTCTAGTACTTTTTATTAGTTTGTGACTGGACTAAATTCAAATTAGTAAGCCGTATATATATATATTGTTTATATTAATATTCTTTTAACAATTACTGACAGGTGTCACTGTTTACTTTTAATAAATATATACTTCAAATCTTTACAATGATACTAAGCTCAAATTAGTTGTTTCCTAAAAGAACCTGGTAGATACAGGTATTGCCAACGGTTATAATGTTAACACGTTCGCGTGAGCAACCTCATCTCTAAATGTTTGTACTGCGGCGGTGTAATGTTTGTACTTTTTTTCCCATACAAAGTTAAGCAACGTCTCAAGACATCCCGCCGTAATACGTATGTCTTAGAACTGTGTTATGTGGCGCAACGTTTCATCACGCCCGACGTTTATAAACGTTGCCTCCACCACGGCATTATAAACGTCGGGCGTTACCGTCCGTCGGCGACCCCGACTGTACGTAGTCTTGTCTGCCCTACTCCTAGAATGTTTTTGTAAAGCCGTAGGCGCGGAGGGAGAGCAGCACCCGCCCGCCGTAGCAAGTCGCAAGCACTTGTGTGAGCCGTAGCGCATGAGGCTGATCGCCGAAGGCGACCAATAAACCGAAGCTACGGACGTGAGCATGGGTACATGTGGTTCGCTACGCAAGGGCGAAGGGGCTGCACTTCCCGCAGCGCCGAAGCCGTTGTAGAAGTAACTTTGGGTCAATATTCCTGTGTAAAAAAAGTGAGGTTATGATTTTACAAAAAAAAAACCATTACTCATAAACTATACTTTTCCGTAAGGAGGGAAAAGTAGACGGGCTTTCTCTGATAGGGCACACTCCTGCTCCCCTCTTCCCCCCTCCTGCCGGAGATGATAAATGTCATTTTGAAGTTAGGTATATGGGATTTACTTTTTGATTTTTCTCAAGAACGGTGTATTACCTTTTAATGGGAGTGGTGTCGCACGCTAGTGAGTAAGGGGACGCTCCCTCCCTCCCCTAACCTCATCCCTTGCCCTCCACTCCAAACGATTCTAAATTTCAACGCATGGGCCTAACCAGTAATTTTCCATAATTGTCATGGTTTGCAATACAAGTCCTCGCACCTTACGGCAGCCATACACGATCAAGTCTACCGTCAAGTTTGCAGCGCGCTTGGAGCGGCGTCCGGTAAACTTGACGGTGTATGGCTATAGGTGTGCATGACAAGTCTACTTGAAGCAAAAATTGAATTTCGATTCTGCCTACTTGATCAAGCTTGCAGCGTCATGTAAACTTGAACGTGTGTATGAGCCGTCAAGTATGCATGACGTTAGTCGGCTTCGGTAAGCGAAGACGCGCGCACGCGTTATATAGTAGAATACACCGAAGTGTTATGCAATGTATAAATATTTTTTTATTTTGTTAAAAAAAAACGTTACCTACACACTAGGATTTTCTCTTGTATCGTGAAGGCAGTTAACAAACATAAATTGCACGAGGACAAACCTCTACACATAATATACAAATACAAATATTTGTTCCGTACGGGATTCGAACCCGCATCCCCAGCATTGCAACTCATTGCTAAAAAACTTTATTGTTCAATGTGAGGAAGATTAATATGCAACATCGAGGAAAATTAATATTATAACAACGTGAACGTCTTTGAAACTCAGATAATTTACCTACTTTAAAAAAGGAGGAGGTACTCAATTCGACTGTTTTTTTAATGTGTGTAACCTCAGAACTTTTTTCTAGGTGAATCGATTCTGATGATTCTATTTTATTTGAAAGCTGGTGCTTATAATTTAAACATCACATATAAATTTCATCAAGATCTGACTAGTACTTTTGGAATTATCCGTAATAATGCGTATTCGTATTGAAGTCAGTTGTACAAAAACTTTATTTTCATTAGTTGTCTCTCTTCCTCTCTTTTAAAAAAACGTTACTTCCACACTAGGATTTTCTTCTGTATCGCAGGGACAGTTTACATACATAGAACAGACCCAGAACAATTATTTGTAGGTCATACAAATACTTGTTACATCCGGGATTCGAACCGGTGGCTCTTAGCGCTGCAACTCATTACTAAGCCACTGCGCCACAGAGCCGTCACTTGTCTGTTTCACAATTTTGCTCTTTACTATTGAGATAATATTTTTCGTTTCATTAACCAGTTTTTGCAAAGTAATTGCGAGCAATAAGCCTAGGATGGCTAACGCATCGTCGTGTGTCACTAGTGCTAGATGCGGCATCATGCAAACTTGAACCTGTGTGACCTATATGGATGCACTGCAAACTTGACGCCGCTTCAAGCGCGCTGCAAACTTGACGGTAAACTTGATCGTGTATGGCATCCATTAGACGTTGCTGCCCGTATACAGTCTAGGTATTTTATGTCTGCTCTGATGTAACCGATATGTTAATACCGTCAAATATTGAAAGCCATCAGGTTTTTCTAGTGTTTCCCATAGTCACGTCTTACTACATCCCTAGGACGTAACGGTGTGATGGAGCCACTATACGGCAAACGAATTATCGTTCCCTTCTTATCATTGAAGTTTGCAGTGAAAGGAACCTTATCGTTTCTTTCACTGCAAACTTTGGGGGATGAAGCTGCTCGCGTCCGTAGGTATTAGCCAAGTCCTGCAAAAAGGCATTACGCCAAGCTATTGTCGACCACATTAAACGCATTGGCACAAAACACTCTGTAAAACCATCTGGCAGTAGAGCTTATTAATCTCTCGCCAAAGCGGTCGAGACAAACTTCTGTCGGTCTACACTGCCTCCGCTGGTAAAACATATGGCTCACTGGCGCATGCACCTAAGGAGAATGCGGACTTATTTGCTTCTCTTTTTGCTTGCAATTCGCGTCTAGACAGTAGCAACAGCGTACCATCTCAATTACCTCACTGCGGTACCCCTATGTCAGAGGTCCGTATCACCAACAAGGAGGTTCTTAAAACCTTGCGAAGTCTAAACGTGAACAAAGCTAGTGGGCCTGATGGTATACCAGCTTATAATAATGCTTCATAGAGTAACGGCGGTTAGAGATTACAGTGTACATTTCACTGCAGAATTAAACTTTAGATCACATGTAAATAATGTTTGTATAAAGGCATACCGTAATCTCGGATTGATAATGCTCCTTGTAAATAATTTCACTAATGTCGGGGCTCTGAGAGCGCTATATGATACACTCGTAAGGAGCCACTTAGAGTGTAACGCCGTCATTTGGGCTCCTCATGAAGCCAAATACAAATATATGTTAGAGCGGATCCAAAATAAATTTATTAGATTCTTATACTTAAAGCATTTCGGAATGTACCCGGGATATCCCTTGTTGTATCCTACTCTTTTTTTACTCGATATGGTAGGGTACAATAAACTCGAAGTCAGAAGAGAAGTCACTCTCGCTGTGTACGTGTTGAAGGTGATCAGGGGTAGGATACACAGCCCGAGAGTGTTGGAGATGGTGCGACTGAATGCGCCTGACGGAAGCGCGGGGCGTCGGCGGCGGCCGTCGTTACTGGCAGTGCCATACGCGCGCACCGCACTGATGCAGCAAGCAAGGTTCACGCGCGCGCTGCGTGTGATGAACACCATGTCGGAGCGAACTGATTTATTTTCATGTTCGTTGAGTGAGCTCAGTAAAATGGCATATCATACTGTATCGTTGGCTACACTGTCGAATTAGGGTACTCACCCTGTAATGATTGTATATGTTGTATGTGTGTAAATAAATAAATAAAAAATTTAAAACGGCATAAAAAGGTAATTACAGAATCGCAAAACGCTCCAGATCAATCCCACAGGAACCATGCATTTTTCCGGGATAAAAAGTAGCCTCCAGCACATAAACTATCTCTATGTAAAAAAATATCGATCTGTTGCCCCGTTACTGCGTGAAAGAAAGACAGACTAACAAACACTTTCGCATTTATTATTAGAAATTATTTAAAAATATAATTATGGATATTACTGAAGTTTCGCAAAAGAATGTTTTTTTCTTTATAAATAAAAGACACTATAAGTATGTATGACTTTATATTAAATCAATACTTAAAACATCACATTTGTGGGATTAAACTTTTCGTTAAAACACAACTACAAATTATTGTTACATACTAAAAAAAACTAAATGCATGGTTTATGACAATAGCTCATTCTCAAATTTCTATATTTCATTTTATAAATGGTTACAATCTATTTATTTTCAAAGTATTTAAAATGTTTATATATAAAGGCACTAATGAGAATTGAGCAACAATTATCCATATAATTGTGGCCAGCCCATGCCTTAATAAAACAAAGATACACAAAATGATTTGTAACATTATTTTTAATTAAATTATTAAATTTATGTTTGTGGAATTATATCTACGAATCTACTGTGTATACAAGTGCAATATCAAATAATCTATGATGTTAGACTAGAGGTAGACATTTTAATTTATAACACAGCAAATGACAAATAACATCTAATTTGTACCATTTCAATGCATTTCTATAAAGTATTGTCTAGAATGAGCAAGTTATAATAAATTTTTAAACTAGATTTTATTTTAAAATTTAAATGTTAAGAACAACATAACTAGGTTTCAATCCCATTCAAGAAACATACTATATTAAAATCATTAATTGACAAAATTTGAACACAGGGTTCACACAATCGAAAATATTTAAGAATTAACATATTTTAAAACCATCGTCATAAACTCTTCTAACCTCTACGTAAAATTAATAAATGTTGATAAAGGAACATTAGACATAATGGAAAGGCTCTAAGAAATAAGAATCCCCAATTTAAAATCTACACAACAAAAGACACTACTGTGTTACAAGATGCTAGTCTTTTTAAATATTTTCATTAATTACTTAAAGGTTTCAAAGAAACAAATTATTGTGTATATTCACATATCTAAATCAAATATGAGATCATTTTTAAAATTAACTTCCTGATATTGACCTTTATTTAATTTGTCAGGATTGTAAAGGTCAGTATTATGTTTGATGTTATCACAAGTAACTGGATTTAAGGGTTTCTTAATTTCAGTAGTTGTTAGATTTTTACTTTTTGATAAATGCTGTTCAAATTTTTTACATGAGTTTCCATTCTTATCTACATTGTTTTTAGAACATCCTTTACTATTTTCATTAACAGCATCCTCTCTATTCTTCTTTAAGCAGCCGTTATCACAAGAAACCTCAGAGTCTGATGGTAATTTCTTACACTCAGCTTCTGCATCAGATGTGTCAGCTAACCCACTGTCTCGTCTCTGCTTTAGAACAGCTTTTAGTCTTGATTTAGACGTCTGAAATGTATATTCCAACAACCAATTTTAAAAATTTTAGTAAGAATATATACATAAAACATTTTGCAATCTAATGTTATGTTAAAAGAGACCAATAACTTTTTTTATAAAGTTATGCTACTAAGGTGTGCTGCTACTTCTAAATACTACTTCTAAATCTTACAGGCTTTTGATACCCTCAAACTTCAAACTGGAACATGGCAGTGTATGCACTGCTGATTGCTGGCAAAAATAGATGTGTGGTACTTAATCGGGATGGACTTTTATGTACAAAAAGAGCCCTGCTACATCAATGTTTAGACAGTTATTTACCTTAAACGAACTGTTTGTTTCTTCCTCCGCCTCACTCTCACTTTTGCACCTTTCTTGGTTTCTTTTTTTACTCTTCTTCCGTTGATTTTTCTTTTTTTGGCCTTCTATAGAAGAGTTATATCTGAAAGTACAAAATTATGTACTTTATAATATTAATTTACCTAAAGTACCTATGTAAATTAATGCATTAAATGCATTTCAATGCATTATTATATATTATATGTAAGCAGCTTCCTTTAGCCATACCTTAACCTACTGTCGATATTATGTGTTATGTGTTTTCATATTTGTGACTAATTTAACAGAAGTTAGTTATTTCAATTATTAGTTAGACTTTACCAAAGTCACTGGATAAACCAAGATTTTCTTCAGACATCACCTAAATGTAACACAAATATTATGTTTAGCAAAACATCAAATTTATCAACTACAATTAAATCAGGACAACCTTAGTAAAAACCTTAGATAAGATCTCTAGATAAACTGCAAAGTAAACACGGCTATGATATATTAAATATTACTGTAATAAATGGACAATTAAGTTGTAAATAGATTATGATGTATAATTAAAGCACCTTATGAGGCTGCCTGTGTCAGTGGATTTAAACCAATAACTAAACAGTAAGTTAATGATATATAGGGCATTATTTTAAAATGAATACTAGCAATGTATAATTTATATTCCCTGAAACCACAAAAGTAATCAATTGGTAGATTTGAATCTAGTGTAGTTTCCAGTATGTTCAGCTTCTCTGACTTCATTAGTCTGTTTTGCAAGGCTTGCACAGGTTGTCTCTCCAATTAGGAAGAATTTGCTAAAATCACCTTATTTGGCAGGCAGATAGGTGATTGCAACAATACCATATCACTTGATGCTGCTTCCATCTAACTGATCTGGGTATTCATTTGTAATAATCTATTCTTGTATAGACAAGTACAAGATGGTTATTTAGCTATCACTTAACGTCACAAGATGTCTAAGCCTTTCCTTAAATTATCTCTTTCAACTCCCAGTAAATTAAAGTGGAGAGTTATATTTTCTTCTCTTATTCTCACAGATGAGGCAACATGCTCCATATTTTTATACTAATAGTAATTAACATTTACCTGTAAAATTGCTTAGCAATAACATCATTAAACCTAACAGTCTTTTTTAAGCTGGATTCTTCTGGGATGCAATCAGAGCTTATATAGTCCATGGATGATGCAACATCTCCCATGCTTGATTCTGAAAAGCTATGCGTCATTGAAAATGATTTACGAAGGATACTTTTAGCACCATTTTCACATGGACCGGAATCTGTCCAAACAATTTCATTCCCCTTATGATATTCGTCCTCCTTACTGCAACTAGAAACAACAATATTTGTCTCTGATCCTAAGTTTGTAACTTCAACAGTAGGAGATTGAATATTCTCTTGAGGGTTAACAATCTCAGTTATTTGTTTAACCTCCAGGGTCTTTTTCAGCTGGGACACATCAAAGTGTTCAGTATTCATAGTATCCTTATTCAGGCCAAGATGGAAATTTTGGGGAATGTCACCATCTACTTCTAACTGAAGGATCACATTATTATCCCATGCTTCCCCAGAAAGACTCTTAAATTTAATATTTTGATCAAACACAACAATAGCAGCATAATGCACTGGTACAAATCCTGATCCAATTGATGTAAACTTAATGCAAATTTCATTACCATCATTTTTCACCACCACTGAATCTGGTTCAGTATTCTTAACATGGAAAGTAAATGCTATAACATCATCTAATAAGTTATGTGTGTATGGAGGTAGTACATATGCAATAGATGCTTGTAAGAAAGGGTCATCGTTTATCATCTTTTCTAAAACAGGTGGTTTTAAATCTGAATTTTCAACCGTTGAGCTGATTTCTGTAACATTTTGTTCCTTACAAGTGTCTTCTTCACTTTGAGATCCTGAACTTTCCTCACATTCTACACCACTGTCTGTTTTTAACATTTTTAAATTTCCATTTATTTCCATATTTCTAATAACTGGTAGAGTCACAATTAGCACATGCTGTGTTATATCAAATTTGGCACTGCCACATTTATTATCTACTGAATAAGGAAGTGTCAAATTAAGTTTGTATTTAGCAGGTTTTTCTGATAATAAGCTTAATGATTTTTCATCAACATCTAAGACACAATCTTTAGTAGAAGAGATCAAAGGTAGGTTAATCTCCACCACCAAATGACTTGGAATAGCAGAATATTGCTTACAATCTTTGTGGTAAGTATATTCTTGAAGGTCCACGTTTTTTTGTTGTTTTAAAATATATTTTGGTACCGTATATCCATCATTAATAACATCTGTAAATTCCTTGTTAATAATTTGTTTTTTTCTTTTTTCCTTTAATTTTACTTCCCTACTAACTGATGATTTTTCAATATTTTCTGGGTAATTATGTTGAGGGTACAATTTTTCTAACAGTTCTTGAGAAATGTCTTCAGTGTCTTCTTCAGTTGGAGGTTTATAAGTAGGGTCTTCTTTTCTTACAACTGCGGGATTTATCATTCCCTTATATAATGACTTAGGAAAACGACAATTGTTACTATCCAAATTTATATTATAAGTAGTTTGTAAACCATCCAAGGCAGTTTTGTTTACAATTTCACGAAATCGTTCGTTAACCTCTGCCATGCGCAAAGTGTCAGGGTGGAAAACAACATCATAAATTACACACCGCCGTTTATTGTTATCGAAATCTTCTCTGGGAGGGATCAAGGAATACGGAATTTGCCAATTCATACCTTTCTGACCATTTATGTTTTCAACGGTATATGACGGTTTACCAATGTGCTCATTGCTACAAATGTTAATAAATGCTTTCCTATCGCCAGCGACGCTTGTTTTAATAACATAGCCACCTTTTGGATTAATGAATGTTATATCATAGCCACGTTCCTTTTCTAGTTGGGTCATTTCTTTCTGAAAGAGGGCTTGATTCGCCGGGTCACGTACTTCGTCGCAGTACTCAGTCAGCATATCACGAAATGTCTTACTTTTCATAGCTTCTTGAATAGCCTCCAGATCTGTTCTCGTAAGAATAGATTCATCGTCACGAGGTTTTACTCCTGTTGCCATTTTGCCTATCGCTTGCAACAATTTATAAATAAACACAAATACGCATAAACACAATAATTTTCAGCTGATGTTCACAGACCATAGACTATAAATATAGACCACAGTAGGCATGAGGCCGATATACCAAAACGTAACTTATAACGTTATATTATCAAATATCATATCATATCGATAAACCTAAGTACATAACCGTTATCACATATCCAACCAAAACCAACCAACCAACGTACGAAACGTAAAACGCAAACTGTAACGATATGCCAACACGTCCCAAAACTAACCAATGTCCTTTGATATTCGTTGTTTCTCGTTCAAGCGACGGTATCATAAATACGTATGAAATAGATGAAGCGAATATGGATTTCGTTGCAATGTTTTGGTAGTTATCATAAAATGGTGGACGTAGTGAAATATAATTATAAGACCCCTTAACAATAAGGTCGAATTTTAAATGGTTAAAATTGCCTAATTTTTAAGTTTGTGTAGTTGTGAGAGTTGTCAGATTTAAATGATCTTTAAGATATTAGATACAAGACTTACATTTGTTTGATCACATTATATTTGGTTTAGGCAACTTTTGTTTGTTTTAGAAGGAAAATTTAGAATTTGATTTTTTTTTTCAAAACATAACAATTACACACTTGACTTTGGTGGCGTGTGTCGTTCACTATGAAATTATCTGTAAAATTATAATTTTTTTTAATAACGTTTGTGCTTTGACTTTTAATATTTGTTTGTATTTTGTACATTAGTTTTAAAACTTTTCTGGTAGACCTAAGCCTAATTAAGTATATAAAGGTAAATCGCCATCTTAAATAATTATTAATAAATAAACTATGTACCTAAAATAATTTTATGTAAATATATTATGTTTACTACTTATTAACACAATACAGTTTAATTATAGAATTTTGAAATCAAACTCTGATCCTACGTCTCACTTTAAAAAAAATATGGATATAAACATTATAGAAACAAATAAGGATAGATATAATGTAATTTTATTCATGTATGTAGAGAGAATGAACATAGAAAGAGTGACAAAACAAATTTATGCTTAGACCACAGACTACTACAGTATTGCCAACACTCTTTAAAGAAAACGCAATTGCATAAAAGCTTTAGATTTTGATATTTTTCAAAAAAGCGCTAAATTATAAAAACAATAATTGGTAATTATTATTTTTTATAAAATTTTTTAGAAAAAGACAAAAAATATTTTCAAATTTATTAGCCAGTCTTTTTCATCGTCAGAATTTTGTTCTTTTTGAACAATTTGAAAAAAAATAATATTATAAACAATACCTACTCAAAAAGTAAACCTTAAATTACCTTATGTAAAGGGAGCAGTGTACATTACGGTATACGAACAATAATATGTTTATCTATTTGAAAAACTTTATAAAACAAAAGCTGCACTGTGAAGTTTGGCCTTTCCCTCTTTACATTCAAAAGCTGCGGTTAAAAAGAATAGTTTGATATAGTTCGAATGAACACAGGCGTAACAAGGACGGAAGTAGGATTGTTGATGGTGGGTAAACTACGGGGTTTTCACTTTTCACATTAGAAACAACAACCAATCTTATTTGCTCTCTAAAAACATACGGTTCGTGGATTATAATACTAAAATAAACATGGTAATAACGTTATATAATACATATCTTTAATTTATGAGATTTTGTATGCTTGTTGTTTTATTTATTTTGAACAATTACGTTCCATGTCGATATTTCAAAGAAGATATATATATATATATATATATATATATATATATACATATATATATATACATATATATATATATATATATATATATATATATATATATATATATATATATATATATATATATATATATATACACACAGACATACCACGCGACAGCTATCCCTGTTGTCATTGATTTTAACCACGGAATATAAATAATCTAAGAATATAATAATCTGTAGACATAGCAGCGATCACAATAGATCTTTTAGGTCGCAGTGATACTGGTCTCTTTAGACCTGTATAGCTGATCGTACAAAAAAAAAGTTGTTATCAAAGAGATCACTCGAAATGCCAGGAATAAGAGTAGTTTCTCGAAAATATAATATTTATCTTTAAGTTTTATCATATGTTTTCATAAATCGCAAAAAAAGGTTGTGTAACGTGCGAACTAGATGTGAGCCAAAAAAGTCGCGCGTCTTCCGTGGAATTCTCGAGAATTTGACGAGTTTTTTTTTTTAAATATCTAGTTTGCACGTTACATAATTAACATAAAATTCATTTTACTATGTATAATATATTCCATTCCATTCCGCTGCAATGTAAATTGCGCTGCAGTGGCACCACTGTGGTGCGCTAGCCGCGCCGCTACTAATTTTCATACAATTTGTAGAAGCGTAATCGCGCACACACACACGTCATTTTTGCGTAGGGAAGTGACACGTTTTTAATTAATATTGAACCTCAATATGAATGCAGATCAACTTGACATTGAAGTGTTTATTGAGGAAGTTAAAAATCACCCTGCAATATGAGATGTAGTTCTGAAAGTTATTCTAATCGAATTCATAAGAAAAAGGCATTGGGAATTTTTGTGCAACAAATTTATTGAATATTTCGAAAAAAAAACCAACAGGTAAGTTATTTACATTTTTCTATCTTGATATGATAATTCGCCATCGGGGCTAATAAAATAATCAGCTAACTTTTTTCGTACATCTAAAGCACTAATCTGTAAAAGTTGTTTGTTTGTTGTTTTTAAAGGATTGCTAGTTTCGTGAATTGAATAAACAAAAAACATTAAAAAGTGGGTCAGGAGCAACATTAAATAGAAAATATGTACATTTCGATACCAGACCGTCACCGTCTAAGTGTTCTAAAAAAAAATCTACCGACGTAGACCAAGATGAAACTAATAACGCTATAAAGATGTTGACTGAAAGAATAAATAACAAAGAATCATCGCTAGAAAACGATAGCGGCAAATGTTTTTGGTCTCATTGATAGATGACTTTAAAAAAATACCACAGCATCGAAAAACTGACGCGAAATACGAAATTATAGGACTTATACGCCGATTTATTTTTATAGACCTGAATATTAATTATGATTCTCAAAAGTACGGATACTATACTTCTACAGGCGAAACATCATCTCGGCCAAGTACAGCTATTTGTACGGTTACAGAATATAGTACAGCGCAATCCATGGGGAGATTTCTTTTCTGATTCCATAGAAAACGAGTTGAATTAAATTTCTCATAATATGTAAAATAAATTAATATATAAAACTAGCTGTTCCCCGCGACTTCGCCCGCGTGTTATTTGGGTTTTTATTTTTACTGCGCGGTACCCTAATTATTTTTCTAAAATAAAAGTAGCCTAAGTTACTCCTTGTGATATCAGATATCTGCCAGTGAAAATCCCGTCTAAATCGGTTCAGCCGTTTTGGAGATTAGCCGGAACAAACAGACAGACAGACCAACAGGCAGACAGACAGACAGACAGACAAAAACTTGTATAATTTTATTTTGTTATTAGTACTGTATATAATTTCATATGCATTTAGTAAAAAGCTGTAATTTTGACATTACAAACAGACACTTCAATTTTATTTATTTGTATAGATTTTACTTAGATCAACGTAATCATGAGCCTTTCTTCAGTACAAATAGTGTTTCTGAAGGACGTGTCTTCTCGACGAATATAACCATCTTTAAGTTGAAGTAACTCCGTAAACTAGTTTATGTTCATTCTCAAGTAATTTTTGAACATTTGGTCATTATATTGGCGTATATTGTAATATTCACTATAGTTATTTGGACAAAATAAAGGTAAGGAACGTTTCCTAATATGTGTTAAATTATTTTTTAATCTTTTCTTTTTTTCTTTGTAACAAAATTAACAAAAATGATGCTTCTTCGTCGGAATCCCTCGCGTAACTGACAAACATCACTATAATTAGAGACGAGACGTATTTCCGCTACCAGCTTTTTAAAACAGGGTTTCATTTCGAAATAGTACGAGTAAAAAATATTGCAAGTATGAAAGTATGTGTTATAAGACGGACGTGGCAAGAACTTGAAACACCAGACATGGAAATACTTGCATAGGAAAACGATCCATACAATTATGTAGATAAGGAACACAATCGTATTTGCGATTAAAAGAATACTTTGAACTTCCAATTATTATTTTTTTTTTTCACTTATACGATTGTGCTCCTTATTCATCATATGACAACAAGGAATACGGATCGATTTCCTATGCTAGTATTTTCAACTTTAGATACTGAGAACACCTTGTAAGCAGTGCAGGGCTTGGGGCGTTAGCGGGTGGTACGTACAAGATTAGGGCACAACCCAATCTATACTGAATACTAACAAGTACTGTAAAGTATTTAAAACTTCGTTTTTGACCGTGGTATTTTTACGTACTCGTACTTAGAAGACCTGGTATTTAATTTTACAAGTATATCTCATCCCTAACTATAATTTACCGAAACATTACTCACGCACCTCTACTGCGACACATTTGCGCCACTGCAGTGCTTCTCTTTGGTAGCACCACCGCTTCCTCACGCCTCTAACGAGGGCTAGTAATTTTCTGATCACCAGATGTCGCTAGTTGACAATGAGGTCAGTGCTGCCATTTTAGCGCTTTGGGCGCTAGATCTAGCGCCTTTTTGGAGTGTTTAGCGCGCATTTCAAAATTTTAGCACCTAGCATTTAATCTAGCGGTTTTTTGGTGTATTTAGCACACATTTCAAAATTGTAGCATTTAGCGGGTTATATAACTCTTTTATACTTTATGTCATGGCAGCACTGTTAGTCTACATTACCGATAATAATATTTTCTGTGCAATCTTCTACACGTGACCGTATTATCCAACTGATAATCACTTTGCTTAGGCCCGTGAATAGAATAGAATAATTTTTTATTCAATATACATTACATGTGTAATTCTTATTGAAATTCATTTTTTACTTTACCACTGGTTCGAAAAAAAAACCT